GAAATCAGTGTCCGGCCTTGTCTTTCTTTTAGTAGTGGAAACCCACAGAACGATAACTCGCCGAAATCGCATTAGATCGGCCCGAGGAACTGGCAAACAACAAAGAATGCAACACAGCAACAGAGTAAGTAGATTTTATTCACAAAATATAAGAATAATTGGCTTTTCAAGCAAAGCCGTTGCATTCCCATACAAACCGTTATAACACAACACCTCCATATGCTGCAAGGCGGGAGTCATGTTTCGCGTGGTCAAATTCGGTCGTTATGTAATAGTACACACCATATGTCACGTTAGCCTGAACGTTCGCATAAAAAGGAAAAAAAAGGATAACATTGAGAGCTTGGGCTGCCTGTGCATTGGAGGGCTTGATGTACACAGTACAGGCAGCCCAAGTTCATGTTGTTCAAGTGGCATGTATGAGTCAGCAATTTGAACTATAAGAATTGTTTTATGATGCAGCAGGATAGATTTTACATGAGGCAAGTGCTCTTGCTTTATCTATAAATGGAAATAACTGAGATGGGAATTAGCAGTGGCCCATCCAAAGTGTGGCTATTTTTCTGCTATTTCTGCATCAATTTGGTTTTTATGGAGTGGGAGGAAAACTGGAGAATCCAGGAAAAGCCCTCAGAGCCAAAATGTGAATGGCACGACCCACAAACCCAACCCACTTGAAATATGGGGTCTAGGATTCAAATCTAAGCCACATTAGTGGGAGGCCAGTGCTCTCCCTTCTTGCCCCTTCCCCCATGTATCATTTTTTAGATTTTCTCCCTCCCAATGTTCTTTAAATTCTAAGTTACCTTCATATTTGTTGGATTCCAAAGCTCCTTCCTTGCAAGTCAGCAAGCTTCGATGTAATGAAAACCTTATTAAGGAACAACCAATCAAAGTTACCACCTGGATTACTGCAGAGGATGGGGTATCTGGGGCAAGGCTCAAATTACAACCAATTGATAAATCACATCACCACATGAAAGATCATGTTGAGATTGGTTGTTAGACTAAGTTTGGTGCTTTTAAGGTGAACAGCGACCAAGTTATGGACCTTGAAACACGGAAGAAAGCTGAGATGAAAATCATTAATATGTTTGCCCATTTTTAAGAATATCACCAAACTCATATTTATAATCACTTTGTGCTGACACCTTGCTGTGGTGGTGAAGTTTGTTTGTCTCAAGGACCCAACAAGCTGTGCTGGCTGGGACTTTTGTCCCTGGCATGTCTAACCATGCTGAATTGGTCATAGGGTAGAAGCCTGACAAAGAACAGCCCCTAGACCTCCAGAATGGGGGTTGGGCAATGCGTTAAAAATTTGTTCCCAGAAAACCTGCTTATTACAGATACCGAAACCAAAATCATAAAAATTTTAGCAGTTTATATGGGTTTGAGGGATGCCGTCTCAAAATTAGTCAAAAGAGATGTTTATACTGTAGATTTTGAACCATGTTTCTAGGTCCATAACTTGGTCTGTGTTCACCCTAATAAAAGAATCAAACTTTGTCAAATGACCAATCTCAAACTCATCTTTCATGTGGTGGTGTTTGTTTATCAATTAGTTAAAATTTGAAACTTGCCCCTATTCCCTGCGCACTTTTGGAATGGCCAATAAATATTTTATTATATTTGAACATGCAGAGAGAAATACCTGTCAACTCCTTAGATGCATGCAAGAATGTACACTTCAAAGTTATTTTTGTGTCTAACATGTGACACTTCTTGTTTTGTTTTCTGTTCACAGCTTTTTCTTCACAGAATATTTGGTTACAGAGGAGTGATTCTTTTTACTTGGACAGCAAGAGTGTATGATAGAGACAAAGAAACAAGAGAGAATGAAAAGTGAGTCTAACACTATTTAACAGAGTAGTTTTAAACAATGCACTAGTTCTGCTAGTCATAAAACAATTTTTTCAATTTAGTCATAAAACAATTTAAAACCATCTCACCATGGGTAGCATTTTAATTTGTGGGCTTTTATTCCCTTCAACTTTGACACTGCCTTTGTTGGTGCATAGCGTGTGTTAAATGATTTAAATACATGTACCTAAATAATGATAATTTGCCATCCCCTTGAACCCCTCTTAGAAGTTGTTTAGATTGCCCAAAGATTTTCCATCACCAGCATCCACTCATTTTGTTGGCTAGAGAAAGCAATGTGAACTGAAACTAAAGTGTTTTGTCCAAGAATGCAAAACAAGGACAGTGACCTTGACTTCTAACCATGAACCCCAAGGGGTAATGGGCCAGAGAAGGACAGTGACCTAGGCTTTTATAAAAATCTGTTGATTTTGCTTTCTATTTACACCTATGATAGGAACAACTTTTCTTTCATTAACAGATCCTTTGACGAGAATGGATCATACAATCCTGGGAAGGAGATAAAGGCAGAAACACAGACATATTATCAGGGCCTGATTGACAACAGAGATTCTCCATTCGTTGTAAGTTTTCCATCCAAATTGTGGTGTCATGTGCAACCCCCCTCTCTCTCCCAGCTTGATCCCTTAACAAATAATGCTACTACTGTCTGATTTCAAACTTTGAACATTTATTTCTCAAAGGATGGGCAGTATTTTACTGTGCAGCACTTTAAAAATAGATTTCTCTTCTGTCTTTCAGAGAGCTCAACCAGAGATTGTGACGTTCCTTGGATATGAAAGTGACAATGCACTTTACTCTATACCAGGCAAGAGATTGGATCTTAATTTTAAAGTGTATTATCATTTGTCTTATGTTCTAGTCTCATGAGATGTAGATCGCATGATGAGAAGCCATCTACTTAATAAATAGTACCATTTGCTGTGCATCTGTTCTGTAACTGATCAATCTGACATCAAACTGCGGTAAGAACAAAAAACTGGCACACAGTGCGATAGCCCAGTGTGTCAACAGACGCTCAGCAGCATGGAATCTGTTTGTTTTATATATTAATAAAAAAACAAAAAATGTTAATGATATTGTCTATGCATCTGTCCTCTAACTGATCATGAATAACAACCAATCAAAATGCAAGAATAATTTGTCATACACAAATCTCAAGTGACTACATTGTGAGACAAAAATAATGATAATACATTTTCTAATCATTAAAATTAATATAGATCTATTATGATGAGAAACAACAATCTCTGCCTTGACAAGTTATGATCTCAGATCCATGATGCTTGTGATGTTACTCTCACATATGTAAAGGATGACATGCACATGAACTGCTATTTGGCTAAGAATGGTCACGAGACTCACAATTATATATTAATTAATATTTCTTTTTAGGGCTGGATTACATCTCCCAGGAGGACGTCCTTCCTTACATGGTTTCCGATGCATTTTCACGTCCAATCCATCATGAACTGTTTGATCGATTCTTGTATCCTGAACCTGGAAGAGGTACAGTGAAATTAAAATTCTATGTTAAATTGTACACTGGAATGAAAATTATATAATTAAAAACAATAAAATATCAATATATTTAATTCGTGCATTATAGTGCCATCTTTCGCCCCTCGAGAAGCTCTACAATCTTGGCAGGAGAAGAACCATAAGTGGTTAGAACTGACAGATGTACACAGAGAAACTACTAACAATATAAGGATTACTGTTATGCCATTCTACATGGGAGTAAAGGTCTGTTACCATGCAGTAACATAAAACGTTTAATGCCCCTTTGCCCCTCTCTGTCACAAGCTTTAACCCCAGGGTGGTCATAAGGTTCTGTTCCCTGCCTGAGTGATAAGCCTCCCCACCACCCTGGCTATTAGCCCCTCCCTTACCTCTGTTGTGTTCGCCCACCCTGATTTAAAACCTTCTCCCTTCCACTCTCAAAGTTATAAGCCCCCAATCTCTGACCTTGTTGGAAACCTCCAAATTTGACTTAGTTAAAAGATCCCCCAACCCTGTCCTGCCCTGCTGAGATCAACCTCATTCTCAGAGTCTCTCATCTTCCCACACTTCCTTTGTCACCGTTTTAGGTCCTTCTCTTGTCCAAGTGTTAAGCACCATCCCTTGCTCTGGTTTTAATTCCTGTCGTCCACCCTAGATGCAAACTTCTTTTGCCCGTTAGGTGAAACATCTTTTGTCCTGCTATGAAGTGCATGGTTTTTTAAATGGGATATAGATTAAGTACAAATTCTTCCTAGATCATTGGCCATAAGTAAGGAAGGTCTTGATTAAAATGTGATTACTAACAGGAGTTTCCCATTTTCATTTGCAGAACACCCTTCCAACACAAGACTATTGGGTATGTAGTTTTCAGTGTTCAAACAAGATCTTTAAAAATGCTCACTACACTTATTACTGATTTTAAAATGTTAACTGTACAATATGTAATTTTATTGTTTCAGTGGCGTTACTGCATCAGAATTGAAAATCTCGGTCAGGAGACAGTGCAGCTTCGTGAGAGACACTGGAGAATATTCAGCCTGTCAGGCACATTAGAGACTGTCAGAGGGAGGGGTGTGGCTGGACAGGTAAGACTTGGTGATGGGAAGGAAGGGGAGGGAGGGGAAAATGTGTCCACAACTTTATGTATGTGTGACTCGACATACTGTATGTTAATAGAGAATGAAGTCCGCCAAAGGATAAGAGAGGTGATCCTCTGTATATGACTTCTTCCCAAGGTAATCCCTCTTAAGTTATTTTTTAGATCGCCCCTGGTTTCAGAAATCCCAGGAGGGCCTTTAAATAGCCAATCCTGTGAGGTGAAATTTGTTCACGTGGACAGCCCAAGCAGATTTACATGCATTTCCATCCTCCACATTGACATCCATGCAACAGGCGTGGTAACATCTGCTGGAGAAATGGGTTCCATCTCTAAAAATAGCTTGAAAGAGATTACTTTGGGAACTGGGCCTATATGAGGAATTTACTCTCTTGCTCTTCGATTTAAACCCAAAGTAGAATATGTTAGGACTAACAGATACACAACAGAGGGAATGAACTTTTGACAGGGATGGAAGATAGGCAGATAACATCTCTAGATTTTTCAGGGACAGGGAGAGACAGATGATTTTATACCGCTTAATATACTGAGACTGTTTGATTGGTGAGATGATTTAACACAGTGCAAATTTCTTGTGCTTGGAACACTACACTTACATTGATAGACAGATAAACAGACAGACAGACAGACAGACAGACAAACAGACAGGCAGACAGACAGGCAAACAGACAGACAGACAAGCAGACAAGCAGACAGACAAACAGACAGGCAGGCAGATAGACAGACAGACAGGCAAACAGACAGGCAGACAGACAGGCAGACAGGCAGACAGACAGACAGACAGACAGACAGACAAGCAGACAAGCAGACAGACAAACAGACAGATATTCCTTACCATTTATTTGATTATCAGGAACCTATTCTATCACCACAACAACCCGCTTTCCAGTACAGCAGCCACCTTTCATTACAAGCGCCCAGTGGAAACATGTGGTAAGTGAAAAAAGTTACCAACTGGTGAAACTGGTTTAAGCAGGATGAGGCACACGTTTTGTTAGACAGGAACTATGAGGGATCATCTTGGTTGCAGTATGCCTATCTCCTTCCCAGAACTTATGCATCTGCCAGTCAGCAATAGGGAGAAACGAGGGTTCTAGGAACAGGAATGTTTTGAAAGCAGGAGGTCATACTCAAACTTCATTCTGGGGCCAGAGGTCCCTATTAATAGAGGCACGCTTGATGGTTATCAGTTGTCGTGCCAAGTTCGCATGTCTTTCAGGTAGTTGCAATCGCTTCAAGGAAAATTGACCGTAAAACAGGGAGATAAAAGAATATCCTCGTGAAAGTGCCTGGGGCTTCGAAAGATATATTAGCGAGTTAGTGAAGCTGTCGAGCATTGCCTTCCTCACAGCAAAGTGCTAACGAACGGCTAACACTCAAAATGTCAGCATAACTAACTCGCTATCGCGGTTTATTTACCTTTGCCGGTCGATTCAACCCAACTGTTTCTAAGACAGTAAAACGTTTGTTCGTCTTTTTCTGAGTCCTTTGAGCGTGAGACGAAATAAAGCACTATATTATATTGAGGAAAATGGTCTCGCAAGAGACAAAACGCTTCCTCGCTCTTGCGCGCGTAGCTATTTTTCCTTTTCCACTTTCTTTCGCTTCACGCTGGACAGACTAAGAAAACAGAGGGGCTACTTATTAATATAGTCCATCAAACAGTCACACAAGTTGTGCCATAGGGTTGTTGGTCGTGTCAATTGAGTGGATTCCAACTGCTTCCTTATAATTCCGCTTGAAGCGCTACCTGAAGCTCTTTTTTACTTGCTCTGGGTTAACAAAATATCATCTAGAATTGCCTTTCTAGCACGGCAAAACCTATACTAAACAAAACTTGTTGTCCTTACTCTACTTCACCTCTTACTTGAACGTTCTCTTCCCATTTCATTAATCCATTGTGTTGAGTCTCCCCGACTGCTTGTCACTGCTGTGTGTGTAGCCTGTTCCAGGTTCTCTGTCAGTGAGGACGATCGAAAAAGCGAGCGGGCCACCAGCGGGATCGGCGACGAGCGAGATCCGGGAGAGAAAAGGAGAGGTCTCGTGACCTCTCCTTTTCTTTCCCAGACCTCGGTCGTCGCCTGCCGCTTTTCGATCGTCCCGACAGGCTAGTGCGAGTGTGGTCTTGTTTTTTCACTGTTGTTGTTGTTGCTATTTTTTACACAGGGGTAAATATCGATTCGAACGATCTGATGGCAGTACATTCGAAACACCAATCCCTCCATTTGCACTGGACAGCAGAGAGGAAGATACGCCAGATTCTTCAGGAAAGACTTAAAAAACAGATTTGCACCTGATATATAGATACCTGTTTGTGCGTCTGATTTTCAATTGGAACAACATACACGTACAATTCCAGCTAGCAGAAGCATGTACTTCTACAAGCACTAAATGTGGAAGAATTTAAAGGCGGAGTGTTCTGTTCGCAGTTAGAATCTGCAAATGACAAAGAATGAACCTGGTTAGAAATTTCAGCATTTAGAGACTGTGAATCTTGTTAGATAAGAGGCGGTTTATTTTTTAAGCCTGAAATCCGTAAAATGCGAGATAAAGGCTTATATCGACTTTGGTTTAAATCTGCCAGCGCTCTGTCACGAATGCCGTTCTCTAATTGGCTACGTTACTCACTCTCTATTCTGTTGTAAATAGTCTGCCCTTGTTAACAAACTGGCGGCGGCCTCTTCGCGTTTGCGAAGTATCCGTGAAGAGGATTTAGATAAAGCTTTGAACGACTAGTAAATTTATTCTAAAACAATTAGATTATTCGCTCTCGATTTCTATGCGTGATAGTTGACTCGGGTTGTACCTTCGTCAACTATCACGTGATAGAAATCTCGAGCTCATAAGCTCAGCTGGCGATGGGCAAAGCTTACAGTCAACTGTCAAAGTCCAGATAAAAACCAAGATAGAGCAGTCTAATTGTGACGATAGCTGGTCTTTTGGAAATCGACAATACTGATCCAGTGAAGGTTTTAGCCACAACCCATCTTCTAGTCATCATTAGTAGCTACTCAGCCGTGTTTTATTGGAAATCCGCGAAGTCTGATTGGTTTTCTCATTGTCCCTATGTAATCGCTGTTAGTATAAATCTACTAGCGTTCTATCGCGTATGCTATTCTCAGATTGCCTAGGCTACTCACTATCTATTCTGTTGTAGATAGCGAGAAGCGTGGCAGTGAGCGATTGTTAACAAACTGGCGGCCGCTTCTTTGTGTTTTTGAAATAAAGATAAGTTTTGAATGACCAGAAGATTTAAACCACAACAATTAGATTATTCGCTTTGAGTTCTATGCGTGATAGTTGACTCAGCTTATCATCATCATTTAACCGTTCTCCAAGTGGAGAATTGGGCCGTAAGCTCTCTGCCTCCAGGCTGAGAGCTTATAATCTAACTCTTAATTACTGGTATAGCCACTCAGCTGTGTTCTGTTTGCAAATTGTGAGACCACCAATAGTCAGCCGCTGAGTTATGCTATAAAACACGTTTCATTTGACGACAATGTTAAAACTTGTAAATGGGTGTGAGAAAAGCTAGAAGCGTTTATTTACGTAGTCATTCTCTGCAAGAGAGACGTCCAAAATTACACCCTAATGACGTCACTCTACAGAGATCCGCGTAGTGTCTGATTGGTTGTTGCTCGGTTTCGAATTTTTGCGCGCAAGCTTTAGCCAATCAGAGGTTTCGAATTTTCGCGCGCATGTTTTAACCGATCGGAGACATAACACGGATCTTTGAATAGCTTCGTCATCAGTTACGAATCGTACGTACATCTTTCTTGCAAGGATTGAATTGAGCGGCCCAGGGAAAACGTTTCATTCAGGTTATGAAAAACTCTGAAAGTTTCCGGGGTCAATTCTCTGATTCATTTGAGGGAATCTCCGTCAGTAACCTCAGGTTTTCATTAATAGTCGAGGGCTTTCTAGCTTGCAATCCGAACTAGAGAAGAATTATGGAGAGAAAGGTCTTCCATTGTAATGAACAAAACTATGTTTTTCTTTTACCGCCTTAGTTTTTAATAACAATATTAAATCATCGAGTGGTATTTTGCTGGTGAATCAAAAGCCAAATAATTGTTAATATTGTATAAATGTATGCAATTATTATTATTATTATTATTATTATTATTATTATTATTATTATTATTATTATTATTATTATTATACAGCAGGAACCCTCTCTTAAAAGAGAGTGACTGTTAAAAAAAAAAAAAAAAAACTACACAAAGCGCATTAAACATGAATATCTTTTTAACTGCTTTTCTCTTTATTGGTGCTTTTCAAATCACAGATGTTCAGGGTCTTTTTGGTTTTGGTTGAATGCGACCTGATTACATCTCATCTGCTTCTTATGGTGAGTGCGTGCCCGCCATGGATCATGGTTGTGTTGACGGTGTTATTTTGGTGATAACACAACGCGTGGCAGTAGGTGGGGAGCCTAAGACAGCAGAAGGGGGCCTCGGCATATACAAAAGGGACAAGGGGAAAGGGGTTGTGTTCGTCCGTGATAATAACTGGAATTACTGTCGTCAGAGTCATCCCGGTAACGTTTCAGGCATAAAGCCGGAAGAAAGGTTGAAAATGTTATCATGGGATTGAGCCACGCATACAGAACGCGATTTAGGGATTCTCCTACAAATGAGCTCCTACAAATGAACGCTGAGCTTTCACATGGGAGTGTACAGTCTCACTCATCCTGAGCAGGGATCTAAAAATTGCCATTATTCATCAAAAGGCATTCAAGTTTCCATCAAAGCAAGATGAATAGTTCGTTCTCTCGGATCTGCGAACGTGATTTTTATGTAGTTAGATGTGAGAGGACTGCGCGCTTCGCAGCGTAGGCGAAAACGTCCGGCGAAGAAGCACGTAATTTCTTATGCAATAACTCATCATTCTGGTCAACTGTAAGGGTCTCCCCTCTGAACGCTCTCTCACGCTCCTAAATCGCCTATCCACCCCTCTATTTCTGGCTCCAGATTCGCAAATCTACTGACTTAGTCCGTTTCCCCTCTAGGAGCCTGGAAAGGCTACAGCTTTGCCTGAAAAGAGTTCATGGCTCACTTGTATACTCTTGCTGAATACCTGAGATGATTAAAAATGTGTGTTTGAACTGGTTGAAAGGAGTCAATGCTTGTTTGCATTAGCCTGACTGAATAATAGGATATTTGATCAACGGGGCTGCCAAAGCAAATATATTCGCATGCGAAAATGGAGCCGGAATATTTTTTTGCAGCTTTCAATGGAACTTTTTCCCAAAAAGCTTTCATAGGAAGATTATTGCTATAGTAACAATAGATCTGGACATAAAAGTCTCTCTGGTGAATTCTCTGTTTTTCTTTAACACGAATAAAAATAGTTTTCCACTTGTTGCATTGCATGACCGGTTCTTCAATTCCTAGACCTCGTATGCTTGATTGTACACCATTATGTATTTCTGGGCTGAAAGGGTTATTTATACGTCATTTTCTGAATACATGTTTATCATGAGCTCTAGAAAAGAGAGATTATTCGGCCTATGTAAGTCCTGTTTCTATCTTAATTATGTTCAAAAGTATCATAACAGCACGGGTTGGTTGTAAGGTCTATTAAAGCCGGGATACCAAAGCGAAAATGTATTTTCGTGTTCTCGTGTTCTCGTCAACATGATGTGTGACTTGATATTATTTATCTTTCCTTTTGCAAAACATAAGTGTGTGTGGCTCCGTATTCCGTTTAACTGACCGTTTTCTCCTCCTTTCTTTGTTTACTTCTTTTTTGTACCACTAAAACGTACGCGAAATTTATGAATTTACCTCTTAGCCTGCTAGGCTCAGCTTGAATATTTTGGAATTGAAAACAGCGAGAGATCTGCAAAATTTTACTTAAATTAACACATCCGCACGAAGGCAGTATCAATGTTTATGAACGGACAGTAATTGCTTGACAACAGGTGTAGAGGAAGTAATTTGAGGAAAAGGGCACTTACTCAAATTAAGAACCACTTTTAGCTTGTTACAGACCTGAGTTGGTTACTAAAAGGATACNTTAATTTCTTGAGCACCTTTTTGAAGAAAGAGCATGCAGAATACGACTTAGCCTTCATGCTCTCTTGCTAGTAATAACATTCGATAATAAAAATGTTGGAATCAGCTAAGCTTCCCGCAGTGGTTTTATTTTTAAAATTCTTTGCTTGCAATCTGGAAAGAAAGTTATCTTTCGAACAACAAGTGCACGTCATGGACCATTTTAAAGAGTAAACTTAGTTAGCGTAATCGGCACCAGCCCTTTACCAACCCTTCAACTGGTTACATTTCTTCCTCAGCATGCGCTCGATCCATGACGAGGTGTGACGTACATCGATATCTACTCTCCACTCTCTACCCTCAACTCTCCACTCTCCACCCTCCAATCTCCAATCTCTACCTGCGGAAATTCGTTTCATGAAGATATTTACAAGTTTGCTCTTCGAACGCGAGGCTCGGATGCTGATTAACATACGTGAACATTTCCAGTTTTTAACTTTCTCCGTAAGATCCGTTACTCCAAGAGTCAGGAGCATAACCCATAGACAACAACTTTCTAGCGGTCGTTAATATGAAGTGTCAGCCCTATATCTTTCGAATTCAATGACTTATAACTTCAACTCAAAAACACTCGCGAAAGTTTTAGAGATCTGGAAAAAGCTGTGGAAATGTGCCATGTGTTTCTGTAGCATTTCTCAATCTGGCAAATTTTCACTCGTGTTTCCATATAAACTGGATAGAAATACGGAAAATGACTTCTATTTCTTAAATTTACATAAACAAAAAGTGTCGTACATTAGGAATCAGTTTTTCTCGGAAATCGCATCCTTAGCTACAATGAATCTATTCCTTACAAGAGCAGCTATTTTTTATTATTTATACAAAAGATCCATCGTCTTGGAAAGAGGCGCTGCTGCTTGCCACAGAAGCTGGTGCTGAAGGGCTTTGAGAATCCGGCTGTGAAGCCCGCGATGGCTGCTGGCCAGCGTTACCTCCTTCCCACANCTCCTCTGGATATTTCAGTTAGGCTTGTTTAATTCGCCTTTAAAAAACTTGGTGTTTGCCACTCTCTGGCCCCTGTGGAGTTTCAATTACCTTACAAGGGGCCGGGGAAGGGGTAGGGATAATTATTTCTGGAACTAGACATTTTTGAACAATTCTCTTAAATTACAATATTTAGAGAGGAAGTCACATCAGCCTTAGTTGGTTTTCATGCTGCTCCTCTAACCTGGTCGAATTGGCCTTAATTTAGTGAGTGCTTAATTTAGCATTGCAGTGCTGATATTACTTATTTTACTATATCATTTGAATTCCTGCTAAAAGTAGTAACCTTCAGCTAAATACATAATTCATAACTCAATATCAGTATTCTTGAATCAATATAAGTCCTTCTATCAATATAACATGCTTGAATTATAATCCAATGACTACAAATTATTAAACAAGGTTGCTCAGTTGCTCAGTTGCGTCGTTGCTCAGTTTTTTCGCTAATCTTTATTGTTAACTGTAAGAACATTTGCAAATCAAAACTAAGGACAAAAAAATGCTGTTGAACTTGAAATGACTGTTGTACCCTTGAAAACTGCGCCACATCGCTAAATATATTTGGTTGCAGATAGCATGAAATGAGCTATTAAAGCCAACATCACGAAATTACTACATGTACACTCTCAATGTTTTCCAGAATGTGAATATCACGTATTTCATTCCTCAGAGAAAACAAAGGAGACCAGTTAGCAAAATAAATGCCTAGTTTAGACACCAGAGATGATCCTCATCTGATTGATACCCCCCAAATGTATTAAGTTGATCACTAGCCAGCTCCTTTACAAACACGCACACACTTAATATTTGTTGTCTTAGTTCGTTTCAGCACAAGTATCAGTGATAACACCTCTGATAAACAATCTCAAGATCACTAGCTGAACAAATTGATTTCTGGTGATAAGCTAACACAAAGCATATATAAGGAAACTGGTACTCGTCAGTTCTCAGTGTATCTCAACTACATGTATATGGTAGACAGTGGATCAAAATGGCCTTGAAGATTTCCTTGGTATCTGTGCTGCTTTTGATTGCTCTGGGGGCTATTAGTCTTGGTTCTTCAGAAAAAGGTATTTGAAATTTACTATCTGATATTCTAACAATGCCATGGATTAAAAGACTGGTGTTAGCTGATGAAACGTTTTAAGCTCACTAAGAAAACGTCATTTGCAATTTAAAGGTTGGTTTCTCATTTCTCTCATGCTTTGTAACCAAGACAATATTGTATCTTCGTAAAACAAATTTTCACGATAACACAGCAAACTGAGATGTGCATCTTCTAATGGAACAAAATCGAAAATGCAGAAACCTTAATTATTGCCAAATTGTTTAAAGTTTAAGATTTGTTTCCGAATTTTTGTCTACTCACAATTCTGGACCATTTCCAAAGTAAGAGCTTGCATCTATTTCAACTTTTAGACTAATTTTTTGCATAAGCTCCTCCCATGTACCAGTATTCCACTAAAAAGGAATATGCTCTAAATTCAAAGTGTCACTTTTCTTCAGGTGTTAAGGAGCTCAACACATGGCACGAAGGTTATCTGATGGAAGATACAGATGAATATCATGATATGGCCGATAATGAAATACAGGATATGGATGACACAACTGATGCAGAACAAGGAATTTACAGGGCACAAGAAAGTGAAAAACGAGCGGTAAAGAGGTAACATCAATGAAGTTAGTAGGTACATCGGAATAGTAGTTGCATCAAAGCTGACATACCAGAAAATCCCCTATCTGTTGCTGTCTAAATTTTTGTTTGGCAAATTTGATGATTTTTAACATATCAAGTTTTTTGCATATCTAACAAATATGACGAAATATTTTGGGGTTTAAGGTCATTCCCCTGAAAAAGAACGCACAATAGATTTTCATTCAAATTTTGCCTGTTGGCTGCTTATATCAAGAGAACGTAAATTTTGAATAAAAAAGGGGGGTCCCGGTATACGTTTAGGAACAGGAAGACCCTCTATAAACCCCATAATTCCTTAAATTATCTGCTTTTAGAAACGTTTATATTTGAACCACTCACTTTACGCTTTATGAGAGCAGAAAAATAAGGAGAAAGTTAAGCGAGGAATTCAACAATGGACGTATTGCATCAATGTTAAGAAGCAATTTGATAAACGTTTCATGATAAAAAGACACCCATATTTAGTCGACCGGGATTCAATATGTTCCAAGCACGCAGTGTTCTTGAGGGCGCATCTCATCGTTTACGAGAGCTTGCTATGCTCTCATTTTCAGTGATAATTTGTCACTCTGCAATAGAAATTGGTCTATATTCACTGTATAGAAAGAAGGTGATCGCGGCTTTCAAACTAAGTAAAAAAATCGTTAGGTCCCCGTACTCGTTTCTGAGAAAAAACGATCATTTGTCTCTCGCAAGCCAAGCCGTTTAGAAAAAGCCACCATTTTGTATATGCACGCGCTTGTTAAATGAAATAATCTATTGTTCGGTCTTTTTTATGCGTCTGTTTGACACAGATGTGGACCAGATGTCACCTACTGGTTGTGGGGTCAAATGAACCGGAACAGAAACCACATTGAAATCCAGCGTTGCCGTGGATGGTACAAATTATTTGCCTGGCCCAGATGTCTCCTCAAATTTGCTGGCCTTGTTGGTAACTGCAAACCATGGGATTTTAAGTGTACCCAGAGCTTCCGTCAAGGACCATGCCCATCTCGATCATGCCCACGCACTGTGACCTTGTGCAACCGATGTGTAAATTATGATGTACCTGGAAACATCCATTATGGTTGGGTTGGCCGTGCTGCGACCATCCGCCGCTGGCTACTGTTGTACGGTGCCGACAGAGTTCAGAAGGGAGGGATTGATGATCCGAGGGATCAGAACGCAATCAGAATTGGAATGGATATGTGGGACGACGGGAGAAAGAGGTCTCGATCTCAGATGTGCAATGAAGTTGCTCGCAAGATTAACTCGCTGAACCGACACGGCACTTCTGGTTGTAGCCGTTGTTCTACAAGATACTAAGGCATGTCTAACCTCAGTATATCTCAAGGGTTATATCGACAGAACAAAACATGTCAGTTTTACTCTTTTTCAATTATTTTTCTGGTATAACTTAAGGGTTCCCAGGATAAAATTAATACAGCACAAGTAGTCTAGTTGTCACTTTAAGGCAGGAAAGAATTACTTGCAAGTTGCCTTTGCAAATTCTGCTACTCTAAAAGCAATGGAATAATATGTAAAGTTCAGCTATTATGTCTCATTAAAATAGAAACACAATCCGAAGCATTCACTGTATACTGTAACTGATTCTCTATTGGTTTCTTCTACTGAATTCATTCTTAACCTGATTAATTCCTGATGAATAACCTGATGAGCTCAACATTGCCAAATTTCCCCCTGTTGTCACATTCAAGGACTTGTCAGTAAAATGTAAGAATTGGTGGTAACAATAGGTGACATGATCATCTGTTTTCTTAATGTCACGCAATTCATATTTTACAGTTTTCAAAATGTATTCAAATCAATCTGTTTAGTAATTACAGTGGAACCCCGCTTTACAATCAGCTCGTTAATATGGTCATCTCGTTATTACGGCCACTTTTTCTTGTCCCAGTGAAACGCCCATACATTTTTTTTTTAAGAAAACCCCGTTAATGGGGTCACCCAGTTAACACGGCCAACGCCCCATTCTGAAATCCCAACCTGTAAAATCCTTTATAATTTTACCCCGTTTATACAGGCACTCGAACCAGTTAGCTTCATCTTTCCATTGTTAATATTTCTCACACTGATTCAATTTTCAATTTTTTGAAATTGTATCTACATTCCGGATGCTTATTATAGAACAGTTGTTTAGAAGTACAATTGTGATATATCTGTCAAGATGCCACTCAATTCAGACTAGTCCTGAGGTTTGACCCTAACCTGTTAATACAGCCAGTGCCCCGTTAATACGGCCAAATTTCAGTCATGGCCCGTTGGTGACCGTATTAACGGGGTTCCCCTGTACATAATTTGTAACTTACATTTCTTAGGTTTCTTACAAATGCCTTTTTTTTTTTTCAGTGTATGCAGCGATTTGCTAAGTCATTATAGCACCACACATTTCCTGCTATGCAGGAGTAGAAACTGCAGTTCATTCTGGTAAATCCTGTATTTCTGGGCAACATATTAAATACACCCCCTAGGGTATATTTGTCCTAACTGGACAAAAAGCGTAAAATAGGACAAAAAAAGGAAAATAGGACTAAAACGTAAAATAGGACAATAAACGTGAAATTAGCCAAACAGATCAGTGAACTCAGAGTAGTTCGGGCTAGATCACTGGCCGAGATCATTGTGATGTGTTCTTGATCAAGAGTAGTTTTCTTCACCGTAAAGAATGAATGGGTAGTAGTGAAGAGAGGGCCTTGCATACCTCTTGATCAATCTCGTTTCCTTTTTCTGATCGGAATGCTTCCATCTTTCTCTCGTAAATGTTAAACTGTTTAGCTGCTTCTTTTCTCTCGCCTGAGTTGTACAGGAAGACACTAAAGTTCAAGTTGATCGATGGATCAGTGCTGCAATAGTGAGAAAGCAAAAACCAATAAGAGACTTTTTACGAAGCTTATCTGAGACATGTCGTATATTAGTAACTAAAAGGTAACCATGTGAATGCGAGTGCAACTTGAAAGAATTTTCAAAAATTGCGAGTCATGATCGTCATCATCATTATCCTTTTCACACCTCAGGGGGGGGGGGGGG